GTCCAGCTCCACGGGAAGGCTTTCTCTCCTTGTTGGCTCTGGAGGAAGGTCCTTTCTCTACTTGCAACATCTATGGGTCAGGCAGTCCTTTGAGATCTACATGTGTCTTGGCATCAATCTTCTGGGTCTAGGAGGTTCTCAGTGTAGAGATACCAGGGCCAAAGGATGTGTTCTGCTCCCACCTTTCTTGGTGGTAGTCAAGTCCCTTCATCTCTGCTTGTTTGCTTGTTCTCTTTTATATCTCAAGCAACTGACTCAAGATACAACTTAATCCTGTAGATTGTATCCTGCCCCATTAATATAGTTTCCTCCAATCTTGCTTCATTAATATTATAACCAAAGAAAAAACCAAACCTACTACTGCTGAGATGATTTTGACTCATAGCAACTCTGTAGGACAGAGTAGAATTGGCCTATAGGGTTTCAAAGCTGTAAATCTTTACAGAAACAGACTGCCTCATCCTTCTCCTGTGGTGGAGCTGGTAGGTTAGAACCACTGACCTTCTGGTGAGTGGCCAAAAGTTTTAACCATTATGCCACCAGACCTCCTTCATTAATATCATAGACGTTAGGATATACAACACATAGTGTAATTACGTGAGGTCACAAAATGCAGGATAATTACATGAGATCACAAAATAGAGACAATTACTTAATATTGAGAATCATGGCCTAGCCAAGTTGACACATTATTTTGGGGGGGGGGGGGACACAATTCAATCCATAACAAATGGTAACTAAGATTATTGTTCCCCTCATAGATGTTAGCCTTCCAGGGCATGTCCTACACTAATGAAAAAGGCAGGGTCCTGGAGCAAATACCCTGTTCCTAGAGTCACTGACAAGAAATGTCTCAGTCTTAGGAGGGTCATTTACATTAGAGCATCTGAGGAAACTGTGTTGTAGAGTTATTTTCTTTTTTTAAGGACAAAGTTAAGTGCCCTGAAATGAGACAAAGGAAAAACACATATCAGAATTGCAAAATTAACATATTTATTGAACCAAAATATGTGAAGAACAGGGGCCACTATGCTGCTGAGCTTGGTAGCAACTGACAAGCCCCTGTGACATTTTACCTTCAAGAGCCTTAACATTATTTGAGTGGAACAACTCAGAAACAGCACAGACTTTTTTTTTTCCCTCATAAATCTTCAAAATATTTAGAAATGATCCTCATAGCCTTGTCGAGTTTTCAGGTTACAAAGAACATTGATAAGATCTTCTGTTGCCTTCCTTTAGTAGTGTCAATTAATATCTTTCTCTAAAATGTTCCTCTCAAAGTGCTGGCTATACTCCCCGCCCCCCTCGCATCTGGAACACATAAGAAAAGGATTTACTAACACTCAGGCAAGTAATAAATGGTAAGAACTTCAAAAGTAGTAAAGTCATATGCCAAGTGTACATGACTCAACACTTATACTACCAGAAAGACAATGAACTTGCTAGAGATTTTCAGCCAACTTCTAGAAGCAAATGCTGTAATGGAAAGGGTAAGGTGATCAAGTACTGCCTGAACTGATGAACCATTTTTGTCTAAATCTCATTTTAAGACCTTGCTTCCAATATACAAACATGCATTTGTTTTACATAATAAAGTGAAATACTTCAAGGGAAAGGGAAATCCTGTAGAGGTTATAAGATCAATCAGAGATTAAAGAAAACTAATACTGAATTTTTATAATCAATCCAAGTAGCAATGATCTAAACTTACCACTCAATTACTTTTGTGAGAGCAAGTACTGAATATCTATTACTACTTGAAGAGTTGAAAGTTAACCACTCTAAATTATTCCAAGGGAAATAAGTAGGTAAGATAGGAAATGAAATCCCTACCTAAAAAACAAAAGCACATGTGCTAGTCAATGTTCTCTTGCTTTGTTTTAAATTAATTGTTCATTCAATCTGGAGTTAACTTCTGGGTTGTTGTTGTTGTTATTTGCCGTCGAGTTGGACCCAAGTCATAGCGACCCCTCTTTGGGTTTCTGAGGCAGTATCGCTATGGAAGTAGATTGCCCAACCTTCCTTCCGAGGAGTGGCTGGTGGGTTTGAACTGCCGGCCTTCTGGTTAGCAGTCAAGTGCCTTAGGCACTATGCTACCAGAGCTCCCAACTTCTGGGTATTGATAAAAATCTTCAAGAGTGTTTCAAATTATTTTAGGTGAAATGTCATGAAAAACAATACAGCTGGTTCTCTAATCTCGACAGTGCTGTTTTATACTTTGTCTAAAAATAAACAAACAACAACAACAAAAAAAAAAACTAAAAAAATTCTGCCAACAGAGTAACTGGTACTATATGGCCCCTCATTTCTGCAGCAATCGTTAGAGAATCTAAAACTCTTACAGTAGGAAATGAATGGTTATAAATATTTTAATAGGCTCATGCCCGTCTTCAAAAGGGATGCAACCTTGAGCAATAACAGATTCAAAGATTTACAGCTCTCAAAGTTTCAACTAATAGATAATGTCTTATAAGGATCCACACAACGTACACAAGCAACATCTGAATTAAGGCTTTTACAGGTAAGTGGTCAAGTCTATGAGTGTGCAATGCTGGATTTCTACAAAGCATCTTCAGCTTCCATTGCTACCTAACTTGTAAACCAGAAGACGTGCTGACATGGAGCTTCAAGGCTAATGATTACCCAGTAATCACGTTTCTAAACAGGTTCTAACTAAGAGTTGGCAGTGAAACAACTGAGGGGATGCCTCATATCAGGCAAAGGGGAAAAATGATTTACACTTGGTGACAGGGATGGGCTTTTACAAACAAATAAGCAAAACAAGATGAAAACAACAATAAAAACAAACAAAAAAAACCAAAAACAAAAAACCAGTAGAAGTTGAGTTAAAGATTTAGTGACCTACAGGTTTAGAGCTACAAGCCAACGGTTCTCTTAACTTTAGCTTGCAAAAGTCACGTAGAGGATACCTGTGAAAATACAGACCCCGGACTCTATACCCAGAGATTCTAATTCAGGTGATGCAAGTGGTCCAAGCACCTTGTTTTTGAGAAACATTGCTCATAGCAAATAGCAGCAAATAATTTTTGATTAAAAAGCCAAGTTGTCCAAGAAATTATACCCATGAGGTCACTGCCTATAGACAAACCCCTCACATTACTACAATAATGTGAAGATCAAATTTATCTGCAACTGAGGCTCCTTTTCTATCTTTTTCAGCTAACAGTTTGAAATCAATTAATATTTAATAATAACTGTCCCAATTCTGAGGTAAAAGGAAGAGCACCAGGGATCTCAATGTTAAAAGTAATTCCCTAAGAAGTCTACGCTAGACAGAAATCAAATTTTATCTGCAATAATGTTACAGAGTTAAGAGTGCAAAGGGTCTTGCTGCAGTCTTTGACTCTTTAAACTTTCTTCTATACAATCTAATCTTTCCAGTTAATGTTTTAGAAGAATGTCAAAAAGAAAAGCTAATCTACATGCTCTCTCAGGTTTTTTAGATACCAACATTTTCTGGTTTCCAGTGATACACGACAAAGTTATTTACTTATTTTTTTGGATGCTGGAGACAAACATCTTTATTAAAGATACTACCAAAATTTTGGCAAACATTTCAAAACAGATTTGTAAACATAATGCTTCCCTTTTCAACTGGCAGCACTTTGAAAAGACAATACGGTAAGACAACACAACTTGAATCAACATTAGTTCAAAATCTTTACATTTTGACCACATAACTTATGTTCCCACATGGTAAAACAAGTGATAGTTTAAATCAAAGTCAACAGATAAACTCCATGAAATGAAAGTTTGTGCTGTTTGGTGAATCACAGTATGTTATGGTTAAATATATCGCTCTTTTTTTATATTCCTGGTAGCCAGGATGAAAAAAATCTTTAAATATACATTTCATGTAGGTAATAGCTTTGCATATCTCTCTTCAAAAAATACTTTATAGCAGTATATAAATAGGTTACCTACATGTTTAATTTTATAATTTTGCCCCAAAACTATAGATCTGTTTCATTTTCATAACATATCAATTTGCCCAACATTAACAAAGCTGACAAACTGTTGAAATGGAAATGATTTTGTCTTCCACAATAGAAGTAGCAATTTGACAGAAAAAATAAAATAAACAAACAAACAAAAAAAACCCTACAGTAACACTCATCAGTTGTTTAACCTGAGCGTTTGGCCTACTAAGAGTAGCAGCTTTTTTGTTTTCCTTCATGCATGCTTACATCCATACAACCTCTGCATACATACAGTTTGAGCACACGCTTTCAGACGCTGGTAGGCCACAGTATGCTTCCCATTGCTCTAACGAAGTGGGAAGCAGTGTAGCTAATTATTAACCACACTATGTACACAACTAGCAAACACCTTAAGGCAACCATTGCAATGGGGGGTTAAACTTGCAGGGTGGTTTTACGGTTTTAGATCAAGTGAGTCTGTATATACATATGTGTACGTATACCTACATACATACACATACTAGTACAACTTTCTATTTCTTAACCCTCCAAAACAACGTTTAATTTTTTTTCTTATTTTGTGCAAATTTCTAAATATTCTACCATTTAAGGCAAAGAGTTCGCATTAAGAAAAAGGTCAGAAAATAGGCTTATGTTTATCCAAAAGCATTTCATCTTGCACATTACTGTGTTGTTGTTTTTTTAAACACCCACAACTTTAAAGTGTGGACACTGGATCCCCAATATCTAAAAAAATCATTTCTAAAGACAAACACAAGTTTTTAAGGGAAAAAAAAAGAGATCGATTTAAAGTATAGACACTGGATCCCCAATATCTAAAAAAAGTATTTCTATTGACAAACAAGTCTTGAGGAGAAAAAAAAGCAGCTTCAAAAACGCAGGGAAGCAAAGTAAAAGGAAAAAAAAGTAACTCAAGTTTACTAATACTGAAACTTTCAACAGGCAAAGTTTCATCTCTTTAGAATCTTAGAGCAACTCATTTGGAATTTTAAATAAATAAGCTTAAGTTTATTCACATCTTCTGGTCTAAGCAGACTTCTAGTGCCAAGACTCTGCTTGCTGTTGGTCAAATTCACCTATTAGTCTTTTGATGTGAGCCAACTTGTTATGAAGATACTCGCATCTGTATTTTTCTTCATGGTAATTGGGACTAGACTGTGGATGAAGAAAATAGTGAGGAATTAGGTTGCAGAATTTATAAGACTTCTCAACTACAGGTTAGAAAACCAACGATGATGGATACCTACCTGCTTGATCTTCTGATATTCTTGTAAGACTTCTTCATGAACATTCTACAAAATTAGAAATCACAAGATAAGAAGCTATTATTGTTTGGGTGTGCAATAACAATAGCTAACACGTTTTGGCCCACCACTCATCTGCAGTTTGTCATGCGGCAGTGGCTTGCTTGTGTGTTGCTGCTCTCTAGGACACCAGTACTTCAAATGTAAAACTCCTCACAACTGAACCAATAAGCAACATTATGATTAATAGAGACAATATTGAAGTTGTCAAGGATTTAATTTTATTTTGATCTGCAATCAATGCTCAAGGAAGTAGCAGTCAAGAAATCAAAAGATGTATTGCATTGGGCAAATCTGCTGCAAAAGACCTTTCTAAAGTGTTAAAAAGCAAAGATGTCACCTTGAGTACTAAGATGTTTCTGACCCAAGCCATGGTATTTTCAATTGTCTCATATGCATGCAAAAACTGGACAATGAATAAGGAAGACCGAAAAAAGTTGATGCCTTTGAACTGCGGTGTTGGTAAAGAATATCATAGACTGCCAGGTAGAATGAACAAATCTGTCTTGGAAGAAGGACAGCTAAAATACTCCTTAGAATCAAGGTTGGCAAGACTTCGTTTCACATACTTTGGACTTGTTATCAGGAGGAAGCAGTCCCTGGAGAAGGATATCATGCTTGGTAAAGTAGATTATCAGTGAAAAAGAGGAAGAACTCTCAATGAGATGGACTGACACAGTAGCTACAATAACGGGCTCAAACACGCCAATAACTGTGAGGATGGCACAAGACAGGGCAGTGTTTTGTTCTGTTGAACATGGGGTCACTTATGAGTCAGAACCAACTTGATGACAACTAACATCATCAACAACAACACATTTGGTAAGGGTGTGGGAAAAACTGGTGATGAGAATGTAAACTGGTACATGATGGAAGGCAAACTGACAAAAAGCTATCAAAAAATAGCAAATGAAAAACTGACTCAGCAATTCTATTTACTCTGCAGAGAAATGAGTAAAAATGACCCTGTATCCAAGGTTACTCACTGTCGCACTCACTGTTTACAAAGCAAAAGAATCAAATCTAAATGTCCATCAAGCCATACAAAGGAATACTAAGCAGCCATTAAGAAGTGGGGAAGTGTTTTACAGGCTGATATAAAAGTTTTCTAAGACGTTTTTCAGTGAAAAAAGCAAAGCACAGACTGATGTTATGTATAGTTTGATACCATTTGCTTAAAAGTGGGAAACAGAACACTATTATGTCCCAAGAATTTCACTGCTTCCAATGTTGCACATTTTTTCCCAGTTTAATGAATTAGGATAAATTATGGTACTTCATAGTTTAACAAAGAACTGAATCTTAGATTAAATGACATATAGTGTGTGTGTATATATATATATGAATATGTTTATTAGAAAATATAACATTTAATTAATATGCGTGTATATATATACACACACATATATATACACAGTGAAACCTGCGAGAGCTGGAACTCAACAGGACTGCCTTGTTTTTCTGGTTCTTGCAAGTTTTCCAACCTTTACCAGGGTGTAGTCACCACTTTTCTATCACTCTATTTTGTTGTTGTTGTTGTTATGTGCCGTCGAGTCGGCCCCGACTCATAGCGACCCCTCCTTGGGTTTCCGAGGCAGTATCACTACGGAAGTAGGATTGCCCAACCTTCCTTCCGAGGAGTGGCTGGTGGGTTTGAACCGCCAGCCTTCTGGTTAGCAGTCAAGTGCTTTAGCCACTATGCTACCAGAGCTCCCATCACTCTATTTAGTGGAAAGTATTTGAGTTTTCCTTCTCTGACAGGTTCTGTCTTTTGCAGGTTTTATTGTGTATGTACACACACACACACACACACACACACAATCTCACTGCTGTTGAGTCGATCCTGACTCATAGTGACACCTCCTTGGGTTTCTGAGGCAGTGTATCTACAGAAGAGATTCCCCAATCTTCCTTCTGAGGAGTGGCTGGTGGGTTTGAGCCACCAGTTTTCTGGTTATGCCTTAGATACTATGCCACCAGAGCTCCCCCATGTATATGTATATATATGTATATATGTATTTATGTCTGAAAAGAATACACTGGAAGCTAGTAACAGTGATTGCCAGAAGCAAGGGAAATTGTATGGATTGGAGAAAAATAGCTAACCCATATGTACCAGGTACCACCAGATGTTATTCTAAGCATTTTACAAACATTTATATTTATTCTGCACAACAGCTCTGTGACTACTCCATTTTATAGATGGGGAATGTGAGTGAAAAAATTGTTACATTAGTTGCCTGAGATCACACAATTATTAAATGGCAAAGCCTGGGAACCAAGCCCAAACAGACTGCCTCCAGAGTCTGTTCTCAATAACTAAGTAATCCTCAGAATTATATTTTAGTTTAAATGTACATAATCATATACACTGGTAAACAACTGTGTGTGTGTGTGTGTATACACCACCATATCACTTACTTCTATCACCACCCCCAACACCAATTCCTCTGCAAAATCTGTAACTCTAGACAACTTCTTTAAAATATTAAATTCCACTAATGTAAGACATAATGAATCTCCAGGGCACAGATGCTCCCAGGCTGTTCTCCTATTGTGGGAAAACCCATCCATGCTCTCCTATAGACCCCTGTGAGAAAGATGACAGTGGGCTGGGGTATTGGTACCATCTATGGCTGTGATACTTCCTCAGAAACACAAGGAGGAGTTGCTATGAATTGGATCTGACTTGACGGCAGTGAGTTTGGGTTTTTGGGTATGGCTGCAAAATGCAGCACAGTTATCTGGCCTACTGTGAGCCAAAATCTAATCAGAAAACTGGCCTAGTATCTATTCCTCTTTATAGTAATATTATCACCTTAAATAGAGGATTGACAACAGATGAAGACCACTATCAAATGTCAATCTCTGGAACAACTGGGAGGACCACACATTTCTTCACTTAATACCCAAAGTTCTGTAGTATTAAGCCCACTTTATTACCCTATATCTATGTTTTCTTTATACTATGCCAGATGGAAATTCTTAAAAAGATCGTATTGTTTATTTACTTGAAGTAGCACAACTTGTTGGGGACAGTACCAGAACTAGGAACTGCAATCTGAATTGATTAGCAGTGGAATTATATATTTCAGTGACTTCCAAAATTCAATTTTTGGTGACTCTTTGTTTTTCTATCTAGTTGTATTTGGATTTTTTCTCAATGTACTGTATATTATGCTATAGTGGCAGAAAGTTTTGTCACACTTTAGTTTTTTTCTACTGACAGAAATATAGGCTCATTGTGTTTGTTTATTCTCAAGAACTATTTAAAATATGTAGTTTCCTAACCAATTTTAAATTAAAGCCAAAAGTAGCATAGAGGCTGGTCTGAGAGAGGGTTGCTCTTAAGGTGCCACTGAGATGGCTGGGCATGGGTGCCACTGAAATGGTGGGGCAAGGAAAGAAAGAAAGTAGAATATGAAAGCTGGACCATCTAGGAACAAATGCATTTACCTGATATTCTTTCGAGCCCGGGGAAAGGCGCTTTCGTTGTGCATCCAGTTTGATAAATCTTCTAGCCACAGTCTCCATCCTGGCATGCAAAGCCCTGTACTCATCATACTCAGCATTGAAGTCATCTTTGTAATTCTGGCGTTGCTCATAGGAGACAATAGCAATATATTTTCTATTAGGAAAGATTTAAAAGAAAAAAGATAAATGGAAATGGGTAATAGCTACAGAATAAGCATGACTGCTTAAGTCAGAGATTTACATCAAATATTTAGAAACAATACCCAAGCATTTATCACTAGTACTTCATGCCTCTCTGCAACTGGTATGCTTCCATTTTACTGCTGAAAAAAAAAACTACTTCAAAGACTTTCCATGTGAAATTATCACACAGGAGAGCCTAAGAGCTTCACTGAAGGAGGGTAAATATGAAAAAAAGACATGGTGATCATGGAATTAAAATGTATCTATGTTAAAAGAAAATAACACTTCCATGGATCTAGCCTATTAAACCTTCTTCTGTCCAAAATAATTCACTGCCACATTAAAAGCAGAGGTTAGCCTATCTGTTGCATCACATAGAAACAGGACTTGATGGTAAGCTGGAGAGAATGTCACACAGTCACCAAGTGCTGAAGTCAAACCTCTCTTCGGACCTACTGCTATCCTGGGGCCATTCAAACCTCCTGCTCACAGGAGTTTCCAATGAGGCACCTCAGGCTGATCTCCTCTCACATTTCTGACTAGGCAAATATAAGATCCAAGGGGAATTTTAAAAATGAGAGACAGGGGAGAGGAAAAAAAAAAGAAGGAAAGGTATATTTTTCTAGTTCTTTTCAAATACTTATATGTCATGAAATGGAAAGCCAGTGTTGTACTATTATGCTAATTTACTTTATTCATAAAATGCCACAACTCTGTTTTTTTACTTTAGGGTAGGAAAACATTTAGGGAGCTGGTGAGTGAAGTCCATTTCCCCAGAGTGTCCATTTACTCAGTGGTAAGTCAATTAAAACAGCATTTTAGGGTCTGGACTGGTTTTTTGTGCACTGTGCTTTTGTCATGAAATGCCAAATTACCTTGACTTTTTTGAGGTAAAATCAGGTAGTAGGAGCTTTGGAACGCTTCCTGGGAGTACACATATATTCAGCCCTCTCCAAAATGTTTTTATATATAACTCTATCATTTTTATTTAAATTGCTATACCACAAATGCCTAGTTGGAAATGGGAGAAAAGTGATGCAGTGAGCAAACTTATGTCCTCATTAATATTTTTATTCATGCTGAGTTAGACAGTGCAGAGGTTTAATTTTCTAAGTGTAATTGAGACAGCAGTAGCATGCTGATTTAAAGCTGCTCTGCTGCTGTCTTAGCTGTAAAAGAACAATGCCAACCAGGCAGCCAATCAGTTCTCTCTATACATGTCTATCTTGACTGCACACCAGAGGGAGCCCAGAGGGGAAGAAAATGTTCCTGGGAGCAAGCATATATAAGCAAAATGGCTAAATTAATCTTGAAACTCAGATTTAACTTATTATATAGAATATATTTAAGGTCTTTGGGTGGTACAATGGTTAAACGCTTGCAACTGGTGGTTCAAACCCATCCAGAGGTGCCTTGGGAGACAGGCCTGGCGATCTGCTTCTGAACGATCACAGCCTTGAAAACTCTACGGAGCAGTTATACTCTGCACATAAGGGCCCATCATGAGTCAGAGTCAACTCAGTGGCAACTAATACCACCACAAGAGTATTTATCCCACTTTCTTAAAGTCACACTCAAGGCCACACCTTAAGTATTTTATTTAATAATTTCCTTAGGAAAAAAACCACATCGGCCAACAGTTATCTTGCTATTATTGAAGCCTATTTGGTTATACTTGTATTTTAACTAAAAGCATTTCTGTATTTTAAACAAAAATTGTTATGGTTCCATGTTGTTGTTGTTGTTGTTATTTGCCATCGAGTCGGCCCCGACTCATAGCGACCCCTCCTTGGGTTTCCGAGGCAGTATCACTACGGAAGTAGGATTGCCCAACCTTCCTTTCGAGGAGTGGCTGGTGGGTTTGAACTGCCAGCCTTCTGGTTAGCACTTTGGCTCTTATTGCAGTGATAGAATAAAATTTTAAACAGTTTGAATAATTCACAACCACAAGTAACAGAAGTATTCTTATTATAAAAAATTAGGAATATTGTAGTTAAGTGTGAATTGTTCAGAGGCTGATCATTAAGGCTTCATAGTATAACCTTTTCCTTTTCTCCTGAAGCAACTTAAGTTTAAGACTTTTGGTGAGTTTTTTGAAAATTCATGTTTTCCTATCATTTTCATATAATTGGCTGCATTTATATAAGACTTATTTTCAGGGCTTCAAACTGGTTCATTCCAGTTTGACCCTTTGCTGCAAATTCGCATTTCATATGTATACATAAGAGTCTTGTTAAAATGTAGATTCTGATTCAGTATATCTGGGGTGGAAATGTAAATTAAGTAAACATACAAAGCACAGCCAATAACATTTATAAACTACAGCAATTTTTAAAAGTACTAAAAACTTGACAAACATAGAAATGCATTTAGGCAGATGCAGCAAGCATCCTTAGATAACTAACTTTTTTTTTTTTTTTTTTAAGTAGTTGGTGAAACACAGCAACGTTAAAATTGTACCAAAAAAATCAGCCTGAATTCATCAGGAAATGGTTTGAATTATTCTTTAGTCTTCTCACATGATTTTGTTGTATATAAAAAGTATACACTACTATCACACACAAAAAAGATGAATTTGAAATCCATCACAGAAAATTAGAGCACAGTACTAATGGTTGTTATCTGAGATGGCCAACTTTCAAAAGACAATTAGCAAATGTGGGTTTGTAGGTGGAGCAGTGAACCTCCCGAGCAGTGGAGCCAAGCGCTGTCCCTCCAACCCTGCCTTCAGACAAACCCTTCCTGGACCAGCTCCGTGGTAGCTGCTTTTTAAGGCACCCTCACAGAATTCTGTAACTATACAATACCTCGGACCAGAACTGTCAGAAAGGTTCCATGGATGGCTTTTAATTAAGAGATGATAATCAGCATTATGGCTTCGTGGAGTACCACCATATATCAATAAATACAATTCTCATACTACTATTAAGCAAAAATAACACACATTTTAAGATGTTCTCTACTCTGGAAGTGAGCATTTCATGGGACATGGAGGGCTAAACAACATAGTTTAACCGTGTTCAACATGAGATGCTATTAAAAAAAAAAAATGTTCAAGTAATCCAGATTCCATTTTCTATCTGACATTCTATAACTATCTGCCGTCAGATCTGTTTGCTCCTTCACTCTCCATTTTCCCAGATTCTTGCAACTTAATTATTTTCTTCTTATAGAGGCCTTTAATTCTGTAAAAAAAAAGCTGCAATTTTGTGTGTAAGTTATAATTTCTGCGATAACTAGTTACAAAAATGTCCCCAGTTCAACATTTAGCAAATTGCTGTCATAATAGGAAAACATTACAATCAATACTAAAATGAATTGATCAAAATTTACTATTATCTCCTCTTAAACGTAATTTGAAGGTAAAACATTTGACGTAAAAATCAATCTCTCTCTACTTTGTGTTAATTTGAACTGCAGCAGTTCAAGCCTTTATCAGTTATAAACTGTCCCTTCAGGGTGAGGAGCAAGTGAACGACCATACATTGACAGACTGTCAGCTTTAAGAGCCAGATCCCTGAAATCTTCCATAATCAAATGCTTGGCCTGGCCATGGAACAAAGGACAGGCTTCTCTATACTTAAAGGCATAGAGGGTTGGGGGGCAGCATGCGTAACTTGCTCATGCAGACTAAGGTTGGATTTGGGATGAGCAGGCATAATGGCAGCCTTTCAATTGCAGTGGTGGCTCCAGTACTCTATTTCTAGAACCTCTTTTCTAATTTGCAAATTATGGGAAAAGAATTCACAAACTTTCTAAAATTAAACAGTTTTCTCCTACTGTCTGATACATCTGAACTTACATCAAATAATCTGGGAGTTCAATTGTGGAAGAAGGCTCCGTAGAGGCAGTGCAACCCTCTTTTACTCCTGAAAGAAAGAAAAAAATTAGTGTATTCATCAATCAATATGGTTATAAAATGCCTATAATTCTAAAATAGATCAGAAACATCTGGAACACTTTTCCTCAAATTCTATTCTTCCATCTCAATAAGCAACAGTGAGCAAGGAATACAATTAAACACAAACAATAGAGGCCCTATGACCAGCACCAGCAGAACTGACGCCAGGCATTTAAAGCACCGTGGCTACTGCAGTGTCTGCACAATAAAGGAATTCCATCTTAACCCAAGGTCAATCTTCTATTCTTTCAACAACAGTTGTGGCATCTGCCCAGCAATTCAAAGACTGTGGTGGCAGATGCAGCCAGACAATGGGAAATACAAATTTTACATCAACATCTATTTTTCATGGGATTCAAACAAGGCAGATAAGACAATAAAATCAGGTAGCAGACTGCTTTAGTCACTGTATTTTTTCTGCTACCCTTTTTGTATGCAGACAGTGGAACTGGGCAAGAAGTTTTCCCATCAGTTTAAAGTCATTTAAAATAAAGTATTATTGAGCCTTGATTTACACTCCTCTCATCACTAACCCTCAAAATACTAAATGCAGATTTTTTTAAAGTGTAGAAAAATAATGTGCCAATCATTCAGGATTATGCTGTGAAAGTGTATGAAATTCCATCAGAGTCCCATTTGTTTCAATATACCATTTCCAGGGGTTATGTTTAGATTTTCTTTTTATTAGGGTAATTTTTTTATCATCCAAAGTAGAGTTAAACTAATAACTCAAACTCTAAATCTGCCTGCTGTGAAAACACACATGTTGACTACAAAATAAATGGGATTATTTGATAATTTCTCACTTTACTATTTTAAGGACTGAAGCACACTCAACAAATTATAGACTCTGCTCAGGTGTGGGTAAAAGAACATGAATCTGAGTCTCAAAAATCAGGGGGGAAAAAAAGGTGTTAAATATAGATACCTTGGCTTCCATTTTTCCAGACACCAAATAAATTCCAAACAGATGCAGGGGATGTGGGTTGGGATCTATCCCTGGTTTCTCAGTTGGCTTTGAAAGGTACCACATCTTCAGTGAGCAACTGAAAGAGACTAGGTCTGCTTTTCCAGTCTCCAACTCTGAGAAAACTTTTAACTCTGTTCTAGGCCTCAGCACTAGCCTCTGAGTCAGGATCACTATCTGACGCTGGGTGTGTGAAGAGTCAAGTATATCCAGAAGCCTGGATTATGAACTCTTAATGGGGTTTTACTATCTCCTACCTTCTTCCTGAATCAAAAAATTCAAGTACAACAGTGTTTAAGGGAAAGAACTTACATCTACCTCTCTAGCTATTAATAAAATATTACACTGATCTAAGTATTTCAACAGATATGCTTTGGCATGCAACATAACAAACATCCAGGTAAACAAAAAGTTGTATTATGAGAGCACTGAACTGTAATATTTCTACAATTCTTTCTTTAGAAATTCTGGTAGCATAGTGCCTAAGGCAACTGACTGCTAACCAGAAGGCTGGCAGTTCAAACCCACCAGCCACTCCTCGGAAGGAAGATGGGGCAATCCACTTCCGTAGTGATACCGCCGTGGCAACCCAAGGAGGGGTCGCTATGAGTCGGGTCCCACTCGATGGCACATAACAACAACAACTAAAATAAAGCAATCAAAGCTTCTCTCATGTAGTTGTTGTTGTTGTTGTTATGTGCCGTCCAGTCGGACCTGACTCAGAGCGACCCCGCCTTGGGTTTCCAAGGCCGTATCACTATGGAAGGAGATTGCCCCACCTTCCTTCTGAGGAGTGGCTGGTGGGTTTAAACTGCCAGCCTTCTGGTTAGCAGTTAAGTGCCTTAAGCACTATGCTACCAGAGCTCTTTCTCATATGGTAAAAATGGTTAATTAAATACAAGGATTATATACTTTCAGTTATGGGCAAAATACAGAAAGAATTTCATATTGGAACTTTATTAAAGTAACTTTTCTAAAACTGTATTTTCCTAGGAAATTCTGCATTACTTATGTTAGGTTTAACATTAATAGCAATGCTATGATGGACTTGGATCTTCTATGTGTTGGCATGCAAGAAATTAAGTTTCAGAGACTTTTTTTTTTTTTTTTTGCTTTTTAATAAGAAAAATCTAACTTTGTCATTAGCATGTTTTAAAGACCAGTATGGTGGTGTAGTGCCTAAGGCATTTGGCTGCTAACCAGAAGACTGGCGGTTCAAACCCACCAGCTATTCCTTGGAAGGAAGATTGGGCAACTACTTCCATAGTGATGTTGTCTTGGAAACCCAAGGAGGGGTCACTATGAGTCAGATCCGACTTGATGGCAGTGAGTTTTCTTTTTTTTGTTTTTGGTATATCTAACCAACCAAAAAAAAGCCAGTGCCATTCAGTCAATTTGGACTCATTGGTTAATTTTACTAATAACAATTGATATTAGTTTATTAAAGTAAGGCTTTTAAAATTGAAAAGAAGCCAAAACTCTTTAAGAATTATCAAGCCAACAGCCTTGAAAAAGACAATTGCTTTTACTTTGAACAAAGATGATGTTATGGATCTGCAAATGTAATATTACTCAGCCTGTTTTATAAATAATTTGACATTTCCACTGTGCTAATATTAATTAAAACAAGAGTGACCCTGTTTCTTTGGAAAGAAGGAAATGAATATTCTTATTGCTAATTGTGTGCGTTTGTTTAAATCAGCTTAAGAACAGCATATATTAAGTCATTTTCAGGTTGCACAATACCGTAAGAATTACGAAAAATAGCAACAAAGTCCACCTTCAGGAAATCTCTGAAGGATGACAGGGTCATCTACAAATATCATCAATGTTATTAACAAATACAGAAAGCATGTTTAATGGTTGGTTAAAAAGAGACTGAAAATGATAGTTGTAAAAAGAAAGTATCTGCCCAAAGCAGATTAATAACTAAACAGAAGATAATTTGGTAAAAAGCATTACTAATTACAAACAGCATAATCTTGTAAGAGTATGTAATTCCAGTTCATTTAACATGTACAGTCAGGTTTTTTACAAATGTAAAATACCTTCACTGGAATTGGGACTGGAGTTATTTAGCTTGGCAATTTCCTCTTCTCTTTTAAGGTCCTCCTCCTTTTCTTCAATAGTCTCAATGTCCTGCTTTTTTATTTGGTCCTTTTCCTTGTGTTTTTTAGACTTCTTTTTGGACTTCTTGTGAGACATTGAATGTTTTTCTTCCATAGGCTTTGGACATTTTAGTAGAACTGAACTAGGGGGTAAGGTTTCCAGAGAAGTCCTAGAGGTATATTTGTCTTGCTGGTCCTCATAGATACTACCATTTTGACTAAAACTGTCAACAGGTAGGTCTTGAGTCCCCCGGCCTTCTGGAGTGCTAGGGGAGTTGGAGTTAGAATTTACAGTCTGAGGAGGATTTGAGACAGGCAGGTGGGTTGAAGGCAGTGGTGGAGGGGTGGGGATGGCAGCAGCTGCAGGCGGTGGTGGGAGACCTGCAGGAGATTTTTCACTGGTGGGATTCAAATGACCATTTAATGTCGGTGGTACTCTACTTGTCAGGTGAGATATTCGAGCTTTTTTATTTACTAAAGGATCAATGAAATCTGAATCCAAAAGCCGTTTCTGGAAAAGAAAAAGAAAAAAATGAGCTATTTTGTATGAAAATTCAATATATTCAATACATATGTGACTGGTTACCATATGAACCACTGATTAATCCTGATCTTATTTAAATGTTACCACGGTGTGTTAACCTTTCTCTAAGCTTAAGTTATAAAAAAAAGTAAAATAATATAAATTTTCCTGTTTAATGTCAAAAAGCAGAATCTGGCAAATAAGTTTCTTGCAGTACTTCTTCAATTTTGTGTGATCATAACACCTCACCTTAAATTCCTAGAGACTATGACAATTTACGTGGATTATACCAATGAGATGTATTATATAGAGGTAACCACCTTCTTCCTGCTGGCCTCAGCTGACCTAGTTATATTAAGTGAGCAGAGGAAGCAATTTGTACCATTTCACTAACTGAGAACTAACAAGGGTATGTAAAGGGCGACAAGCCAATGCTATTTTAATCTCTTCTAATGTGTTAAAATGTTCCAGTTATGAATATTTTGGCTGTCATTTATTTTTCTACCTGTCTTAAAATGGGAACAGCCAGCACTTTGAGACTAATTTCTCTAAGTATCTCCATCATTATTGAAATGCTATTCAATTTTTTTTTTCTCCCTTTTAAATATCTCTTCCCTAGATTGAAGATAAATCTTCATAAACTGGTCCACAACAATGATGTGAATTACAATTTAAATATTCAAAAAACTCATGCCAATATTAGCCCAGTCCAGCAATAAGAATAGCATTTAAGTTAAAAAGGAAATTCAGACACTCAAAAAGTACAAGCATAAATCCAGTATAATACTGTAGCTTGCATTCTGGCTTGAAAGAAAATAAAAGTTAATCAACCTGTTATTCAGTGTTCAATGCTAAATTGAAACCACTTATTCAGCACCCAGTATAAAATTAGATCAGCGTATAAGTCCCTTCAAAATACTTGGTATTAAAAGTGAGGCTTTTATAGACAATATATATGCAAGGATAGAACTGCCTTTTTTTTTTTTTTAACCCCCCCTATTCCCCATCTGTTCCTCCCAATAGTTTTCTAACATTTTCTAATGCTCAGAAGGCCTGGGCAACAATCTTAGAATACAGCTGACATGTGAATAGCCTTTGCCCAAGGCATGCATACTGTTCTCCACACATCTGTCTACTTCTCTCTGTTCTTGGGAAGAGGCTTGAGAGAGAGAGGAGCACTATGTCAGCAGTATGGGGGTGGGGAGGTTTGTCCCAATGTCAGTCTAAAGGACTTGGGAGACTGAGTTTGAAGACTGACTGTGCGATGTGAGAATAAGGCAGGCTTGAACCCTACGGTACTGCCCAAGATTTCCCCACTTTTTTCCATGATGAGAAGAATCTCCTGGGAGAGTTCTAAACTAGGGTGGTATCTGACTGGGGGTATTATGATTGTGATCCAATTGAAAAGTAGTTTAAGAAAACATCTATGAAAATGGTTAAGAACAGAACTGCCTTTTTTTTTTTTTTTTAAATATGCAAATACATTTTCTCTCCAAGGGTATTTTCTTCTGGACCATGTTTCAAGTAAAATTAAGTATCTTCAATTTTCCATATATATAGTCCCTAAGAATCATGGGACTGGATGGGTAAGTCTAGTTAGTGTCCAAATGGAAAAGCAAGGTACACATTAAAACTTTGACAAAGCAATGCTACATAGTAGAGACTTCTGCCCTGAGAACTTTAGAACCTGGATTCTAGACCCAGCTCTGCCATTAATTAGCCATGTGACTTTGGGCAAGTTGTGCAACTTCTCTGGGCTTCATTTTCCTCACTTAAAAATCAGGGAGCCTGAATGAGATGGCCCGTAAGGTCCATTTCAGGTCTGTGAGTCTACAATTTTATAAAATACCTGAGAAGGAGAAGATGCAGCATCTCTACTAGAACATACAGGAGATTCTGAACGACTGGTGCCAGCAGCATTCTGAGATGGATTTAATTTTCTGTAAAGGACACACATGTTCCAGGTTATAGAGAGAATATTTAAATGTTTATGATAGAAAGCTTACCCGTGTTTCTCTTTCCCATCTCAACACTAAAATGTCAATGACTAAAATAATTACCTATTTCCTTCATTTTCATAGAAAAAAAATAAAGAATTTACCTAGAGAGCACTGATTCCAATGACCGTCTGTCTGTTTCATTGTATCCAGGCCAGTCTCTTTGAAGCTCTTTAAATACAAAATCCTTCAAGGTATATGAAAGGTCCTTAGGATTCAGATTGGCCACCTGGCACATGATAGAAACGTAGCATTAGATCTTTTGGCTATTTCTTAACCTAAAACAGGCAGTCTTTTGTACTGGAAATATTACATCAATTGGCCCCAAAAGGATTGTTAATTTTATACATGCCAGATTTCAATAAATGCCATTCAACTTTATTTTATATGGCCACTGCATCTGTCATATTTCTATTCAGATAATAAGCCTAAATTAGCAAAAAAAGAAGTAGAGAAACATAATTTTGGGTATCAATTTTTTCCAGTTAAAAGAATTCAAAATAATAATGTTATCATTATTTATTTCTAGGCATTAACTCCATTACTTTAGAAAAAGTCACAATAAAAATTCTTAATGATTCATATTAAGTAGAAACAAAACAGTATCCATATGTTGGGATACAAGCTTTCCTTTCAGTCATAATAAAAAATTATCTCCATAAACAGTATGAATTCTGATAACCATGTCTGTCATATTCTTAGAAAGTCAAGTCCACTCTTTGTTCTAGTCAGTTCTCCTAAAGAATCTAAGACTTTGAAATTACCCAAAATGAATTAATAGAAACATAAACCAAAAGAATCCCCAAATTATTAGTCAGTTTATTCCTAAACATAATCTTTTCTTATCTCTTAACTACAATCCTGAGTGTATCCAGGAGTAGATTCTACTGACTACACTAACGTGTGGGTTCAGCTGCCAAACCAAAAGTAACTTTTAAGGCTAGGAGAAAGGTATTCCTACCTGTCACTTCTTAGTGGTATGCTCTTTTTAATGACTTTTTTTTTCTCTTTTAATAGTACTATCAAATATGGTAATTCATGCTTTTCTTACAGCTCAACTGAATACTAATCTAACATATATGTTGTTAGAAAGTAGAAAATGGTATGCTATATTAAAATTCAAATTTTCAAATAAATCAATATAGATAAATCCAAATTTCTTGAAATAGAATAAATACAACAATTCTTAAATTTTCTATCTTCCCTGGTACTACTCAGACTAACATCCTGCCCCCTTAGTAACTTCTTCTCTGTGCTTCTGTAATTGAACATTCTCCCGGTTTTCCACCTCCTCCCTCAGGATCCTTCTTTTATAAGTCTTCTTTGCTGACTCCCCTAACTGTTGGAATGTTCAGGGTCTGTCTTCAGCCCTGTTTTCTTCATTATCCTTTTCTCCTCCTGAGATGATCTCATTCAGTTTTAAGGCTTTAAATACCTAATCAATATGCTGAATATATGAAAATACATGAATTTATTCCTAGTTTCTAAATTTATAACTCCAACCTCAACTGTCCCCTGAACACAATGTATGCTGTTATATATAATACATATTGAAAATTTATCTTCATTTGGATATGTCTAATAGACATCTTCCAAACAGAATGTTCTTAAGACAGAATTACTGATATTTTCCTATAAATATATTCCTTTCTCCATTCTTCCTCATTTTAGTCAATGGCTCAATATCCATTCAGTTGTTTAGGCCAAAAACCTAGCTGTAATCACAGATTCTTTTCTTTCCCCCACTCTTATCCCACACCCACGATTAGCAAGTTTTGTCAGAAAATATATCCCTAATTTGATAAATCTTCTCCACTATCCCCACCAGATCAAGCCACCAACACTTCTACCTGGACTTCTGCAATGGGCTCTTTTAAGTGGTCTTTCTCTTCTATCCTTGCCCCCCTAGATTCATTCTTGCCACAGACATCTGAGTGATCTTATTAAAAGTATAATTCAGATTATATGATAGCCTTGTTTAAAACTCTGTGACGATCACCCATCACACTAAATAATAAGCTACAAATTCCTCACCCATGACCTAGAAAGGCCGTCTGTGATTTGTCCTCTATTTCACACACTGTATTTCTCTCTTACTTGAACATGCTAAACTCTCCCTTCCTCCAGCCTGAGGAAGTGCTGAATCATATTCTTGTCTCTTGCTCATCATTTCAGCTAAAATGTAGCCATCTGAGCAACAGGTTCTGACTTCTCTACTCAAAGTAGCTGCCTCCTACCCAGCTCCTCCCAACTCCCCACTCTATTTCCACAGGCCTCCTTCCCCCAAATATACAAATGTACACAACCTTATCCCCATTCATTTTCTCATCCTGTCACTTGAACTCTTGAAACTGCTATGTAACATTTGGACTTAAATTTAAGTATTTCCAAAATGTGCTCAAATGATTTAACAAAAACTTTGAGGTCACTTGAGATACCTTTGGGAATGGCTAACCCAGAACTGGAGATTACGGTTTTACCCTTTCATAACATTTAGTATCCCATCTGTAATATAATTGATAACAAATAAAAAAATAGACTTAAAAATGTTATTTGAATAACAGATGAAAATCTGTAGGGGTTCTTTTAGGTGATGAAATTTAAAAACAATTTTGGAAATACTACTGCTTTATGAAAAAATAAAGAAAAGAGATGGACCACTCATTTATGGTGGATCTTAATACTAATCAACCTTATGACCTGAAGGCAGTATGACAAAAAACAAAAAAACAAGCTACAGTCAGACAAAACCACTGACTTTAACAAAATTAAAGACCTAATTTTGTACTCAGAGTCGACTCCATGGCATCAGTTTTTTTTTTTTACTTTTATACTTAAGCTTGTGATTATAAGGTAACTGATCACATTTAATATTTTATACACTCATATCTTTTAATGTGGACAAGTGACTGATTGTGACATACATTCTAAACTCTTCAGTAGGTTAAAATATTCTTACTTATACTAACCAAAGTCTGACAAAATACATTGCACAACTGCACTTTCTTAAACCAATAAAAATTAAGTCAATAGTTTAGGTGAATCAAGACTAAAAACAGACAACAAAAATTTCTTGACTTTTTTTAATGCTATTTCAGGAAAAATGTGTTTCATCTGCATGAAGATAATGACATGAAATTTTCTTTTTTTATTCCATGAAACATTCAGAAGCATCTCACTTGTAAAATCTAATATAAATGACTGTATTTTAATTAAACTCTTAAAACAAGATGATTTAATACATAGGAGTTATATTTCATATACTCTTGATCAAAATGATCCTAAAGTTTCTCTATTTCAATAATAATAGTAACAACAAATCTTCTTAAACTGATTTTTAAATGCAAAGGTAAGTAAGTGGAAGGCCCTCTCTCCAGCAGTCCTCACCTGTTGCAGAATTGCACCGAGGGAGTTCTTGTCCTTTTGATTGACGCCATCTTTCTGCAATCGAGCTAGCAGCTCAGGTTTCTTGTAGGTCTTCAGTGCCAGTAAGTGAATCACCCTGTCCCTGTAAGGCCGCTGAGAAACACTGCTGCTGCTGTGTGTCTTTCGAATCGTATTTGCAGGGTTCATGGGAGTTGACCTTTTTCTCTCAGGCACTGCGTCTGCAACAGCTTGAGGTGCTTTCCGAATTTGCACTCTTTTCCCTAAAGCCCAGTGGAAACAAAATTGTTAGGCATCTGTGGGTGACAATACAATGAGAATCTCAGTTTCCAGAACTCTTTTTTAGGTACCTCTTCATTTCTGGAAGGAAGAAAGGCTACTTTATTTCAATTTTTACTTTAAAGAAAAATGCAAACAACATTCTTTTAACTCAAGTTCTACTTGCATGTGACACATATTAATTAGGCAAATGAATTAAGAGCTAAAATATGGATTAGGAATTTCTTTGATGGAACAATTTGTTGGAATAAATATACATTATAGACTATTTTGGTCATTTAGCTACACATGGATAGTAATTAATGAAACGATTTGTAGCAACAGACAGAAAACTTTAAGGTTGTAAATTACTTAATGTTAAGTGGGACTAAAGTAATTTCCATGCTCACCTGTGCTATTTACAGAACTTAAATCTACACATTATGGTGCCATTTCTGAAAAGCAGACATGAATACAGTGGACATGGTGAAATGTGAGCAGTATCTGTCTCTCCTCACTAAGATACACAATCCTTGGCTGAGCTGGGCCATTAAAAGCCTCGTAGATTCAGAAGCTACAAGGAGGGGAGTCAAGCATAATTTGAGGTCAATATCTGGTTGGGTACTCACTACTGTAATTCTTTCAATAGGTCGTAACATATTTTGTTGTTGCTGCTATGTGCCATCGAGTCGGCCGACTCATTGGGACCCCCTCCTTGGGTTGCCAAGGTAGTAAAACTATGGAAGTAGATTGCCCCACCTTCCTTCCAAGGAGTGGCTGGTGTTTTAGGAGTGAAAAAAATAAACCCCAAAACTAACCAACCAACCAAAGTAAACTAATCTCAGAGGGTCAAAAAGATTTCTCCTCTGTGGTGGTAAGGCTACACAGGTGAGCAGAAGAAAATGGTAAAAAAAAAACTCCAAGGCCTTTGTACCACTCTTACACAGTCCAGTGTGAGTCATGTAATTAACCCTTTTTTTGCTTAGATTTAACACTGACATTTGGCAAGTGCTATTTCTAGAAAAAGTATTCAGTCAAGTGATCTGGATACTACTACCTGTGTATTGCAGTCACTGTTAACACTGGTCACTGGTAAGTATTCCTTGCTAAAGGAATAGAAATTAAAATGAAACTTCACAAGACTCTCATTCTGTGATTTCTGAAGTGGGATCTTCCAGCTTATTTACTATACTCTAAACCCCCAACTCTATGCCCCCTGGCTAAAAATAGAAATCACAATGCAGAGCAACTGCATTAGACATAAGACTAGCAACTTAAAACAATGAATAAGTAAAATCAGTTTCCAAGTGCTGTGGTGTGGAATGAAATGAGATCAATGGGGCAGGAGAGTATTAGATAGTCATGTCATCCATGTTGTGATCCCCAGGTCTGAAAAGAGGCTATTTGTTTTGACACAATTCTACGTAGAGTAAGGCAGAGAGGATGAATGCTCTCATGAAATCTCTGCCAGCTCTTCTATTTAATCTTCTGAGTATATCAAAACCAAAAAACCAAACTCATTGCCATCAAGTCAAATCTGACTCACGGCGACCCCTCTTTGGGTTTCTGAGTCAGTATCACTATGGAAGTAGATTGACCAATCTTCTTTCAAACATCAGATCAAAATATCACACAACAAAGGAACTCAACATTAATGCTGAGAAAAACTATTAAGTTTCTCTATTTTTCTTAATAACGGATTGGTGTCAGGTGGATTATTGTCAGATGGAACAGTATATTCTTATGTACCAATTATGTGAGAAGCACCATGCTAAGAGCTTTACATACATCTGATTAAGTCTGACAGCAACATGACAAGGTACACATTGATTCCCATTTTACAGAAGACAAAACTGAGGCTTTCAATGGGATATGCTCAAATGGTAAAGGGCTCACTTAGCATTTAGAATGTTCTATCCAAATTTTCTTAGTTGTACTTCTTTGCATACAGGAAAGATTTCATGAACAAATGCCTAATGTCTGTCACTGCTTCATTTTAGGCAGTAAGCTTGATACAAGCAAGGATGCAACTGCTTTGTTCACCAGGGGATTTCAACTCAGTTTTCGATAATCAATTAAGTAGAAGAACAGGGATCAATCTGGTCCATGTTTTCCCACATTGCCAGGCTTCCAGAGTCTCAAGATACATTGAAATTTCTAATGTGGCAAGTGCAAATCTTCCAATCCACTATTTCTCAATCACATTAGTGTTAACAAACTGTAATGTTCCTTAAAATTTTAATATGAATTTATGAAAAACAAACAAACAAACAGAAAACAGGACCAGGGTCATAAAAGTTTAAGAAATAATAGAACCTCCACATTACCTTCCCCTAGCCAAGTCCTGAAAAGACAAATGTGTTTTAACTCATTTTAGCCCAAACCAAGGTGACTGTGGAGCACTTTTCTCTCTTTTTTTGAGGGTTTGTGTGCAGGAGGTAGGCAGAGAATGCTTTTGAGCTAAGCTCCAGAACACCATGACTTGTCATTTGGAATGAATTCAAGTTAACTAGGAAAGCAAACAAAAATATAAACAGAAAGTGACAGTACTGCCACTGTGCTTCAGGCTGCCCTACCTCTTCTGTTCCTCTGATTTCTGTCTCAGGAGGGCTTTCAAGCTCTTCTGGGTTTACCTTTACCCAACCTGGAAGCAGGCATAGTGCAGAAAAATAAGGGGGCTAACTTTGTCCTTTGTTGTTGTTGTTGTTTGTCATCGAGTCGGCCCCGACTCATAGCGACCCCTCCTTGGGTTTCCGAGGCAGTATCACTACAGAAGTAGGAATGCCCAACCTTCCTTCCGAGGAGTGGCTGGTGGGTTTGAACCGCCAGCCTTCTGGTTAGCAGTCAAGTGCCTTAGCCACTATGCTACCAGAGCTCCTACTTTAGAGGGGTATAAGTATAATGCCTGATGTGAAACTAGGGTCTGGTCAAGGAAAGGACAGGGGTAGAGTCTTACCACTACTACTACTAGGCTGTCATCTCCCCATGAGTCCTCTAACCTCTCATACACTCACTTTACCTTTACCTCATTTTTCTCTCAAACAGCCAGTGATGGGATAACTCATTTCTCCAAATGCTAAAACAACCCAGCCAGAGTAGGCCACTGAGTTACACTAAAAAATCACTTGCTCACTCCCTTCCCATCCTTTTTCTGCCTATTCAACAAGGAAAGAGTTCTCTGACTGTCAATGAAGAAAACATCTGTGATAGAATTATTCACAGAACTGAGATGCTAAGGGGGGAAAAATGTGGAGCAGGAAAATTCAAGTTCAAAATAGGCAGAATAAAGGCTTTTATTTTTATTTTTGCCTCAGAAAAACGCTTTTAATAAAGCCTATGGGAGAACCTAATTCTCTTCCCAGACCCAACTGCTAATCAATTCCCTGGGCTCCTTATATAAACAGCAGCAGTGGGTCTGGCAGGATTGGGTAATCTGGGACTATATCTGATTCCTTGTTTCATAACAAGGAGTCCTCTTGTAGCTTTGCCACTTAATATGAGAGGGCAAAAGTCTTTATCCTTCAGTCTAATGGTATACAATCTGAAATGAAGATGTTAAAACTATATCAGAAAGAGTGGTGACTGTGGCTGTCTTCAGTAGTAGTTTTTCTGTTCTGTGGAATCTGACCAGTAACCTTGGCAACACTGACCAAGGCTTTAAAAACACCAGTAGGGCAATGATGATGAGGTGACGCTGTCATGTTTAAATTGCAGTGGCATTCATTTTTACCATTTGACATTTGTGATAAATTTTTCAGAAGTTATTATTTATCTATACACACACATACACAAAAGTCACAAAAAAAATCTATGAAAGGGCTTAGATATTAGCTAGTTCAAGTACCCCTCACTTTATATTTGAGAACACTGAAGTCCATAGATGTTAAATGACTTGTCCAAGGGCACTCAAATGTGCTAACTCATTAAAAATAAGAAGGATGGGGACAGAGGTTGGGAAAATGGGAGAGAGAATCCTAGAAATCAGATTGGCTGGTAATTTTACATACCTAAATACATGTTGAGCTCTGGTGGTACAGTGATTAAAGCACTTGGCTGCTAACCAAAAGGTCAGTAGTTTGAACCCACCTGCTGCTCTGTGGGAGAACGATGAGGCAGACTGCTGCCGCAAAGATTTACATAAAGAAACCCTATATGGCAGTTCTACTCTGTCTCACAGGGTCACTATGAGTCAAAATCGACTTGATGGCAGTGGGTTTGGTTTAGTTTTCTGGAAATAAATATTAACATGTATAAAAATTTGTAATTCAATTGAATTTCAGAATTTAGGTAAAAGTCAATGAGCAAACTTAGGGCACTGGTAAAATGAAATAGTGGTGATTAGTGATGTTTATTTGATTTTATTTTTAAACAAAAGGAAGAAATTATCATAATATAACAACATTCACTACTGTATAAATAGTATGACTAGAAGTAGAAATATTACTGAAGAAATAATAATAAGGTTTTCCAGGTTAAAGCCTCTACAGGCAACGTAAGTTTTTTTTCTCCCCCCAAGCCCAGAAGAGGTCTGCAGAAACTCATTCTGGGGTGATCAGGTAGGTGACCCTTTGGAGCATAATTTTCATCCCCTTAAGCTGGGCTTGTGCCCTGGTTCAGCTGCTAGTGCCTGGCCTGGCATAATGCCACAATACCACACTGGAACCAGCACTGTTCCCATTTGTCCTCCATCTAGGCTGACTCTGTTGAAAGAACCCTTATTTTGTAGGTACCTCTAAACTGGTATAGGTGAACTTTTGGTTTCATTTTATATATATATTCAAGTATGAACTAAAGGACCTTCACATTATCTTAAATATAAAACACAGTTTGTTAGTAAGTCTATATCCAAATTACTTGCTATTTGCTGGTATCAGTAACTTGATATGCAAAATGGAGATAAGAATCACAACCAACCTCATAGGGGCGCTATGAAATTTAGGTGACTACATGTAAGGTGTTAAATGGTGTCTTGCACAGAGCAAGCTCTCAATAAGTGGTAGGTAATTAGAACTGAAGGGTGACCGACTAGCATTTTAAAGGACTGAATAAGTCATATAGTTTTAAGATACTGAAAAAAGCAGGAAGATACAAACTGAGCTGCCAAGAAGGAAACATATGGTAAAGAACTAGCAATGGATAAGGTTAAAAGAAAAACACCAAAACATGATATAATAAAGAACAGTAACCTCCCCTCAAAAGATAGAAAAGCCAATCAAGATACTAGATTCTTTTGCTCCCCTGAATTCAGAACCAGTCAGACTTTTTTTTTTTAACTAAGAGTAGCATGTCCAGTTTTCAACTCTAAGATGCAGAACTGGCAACAGTCCAGAGAAGAGCAATAAAAATAATTAAAGGGTTGGGATACAGGCCATATGAAGAAAAGTTAAAAGGAGCTAGGGCTATTTGGCCTGGAGAGTAAGAGGCTGAAGAGGTTAAGGACAATATTTAAGATAATATTTAACACTATGGTGGGATGGTGAGTGGATAGGACACCGGAGGACAAATCGAAAAGGAAAAGGGTGAACAGAACACGGCTGGCAGAAATTACTGCAGGGCTGAGAGAGGGACCATATGTATGGAGAGAGGGTGGCAAGTTCTTCTTAGAATGGTATAAATGCAATGTGGTTCAGAATTAGACTAGATTACTTCAAATTTTCAATGTCCCCCGCATATATTTATAAATTTGTATTGCCCATAAGAAACCCTTCAAGTTCTATAGGTCCCAGTACCATAAGGGAATATATGGTCTGTGGGATTCTAAGTGTCAAAAATTCTGCCAAATATGATAGAAATGAATTGTACCTGACCTTATCAAAACAACAACAACAAAAACTCCACATGAACATAGGGACAATCAAGGATCATTCAATGGAAAAGTGTAGTAATCAATTCTGTTTTTTAAGCTTTAGAATAAATCAAGGTGAGTATTTTTAGCTAGTTATATTGGGAGGAAAAATATGATTTTGATGGCTTTCATCTTCTATTCCTTTGGGAAACAAACAAACTTGCCTCACTGTATATAAAATGGTGGTGTTGGACAGAGTGAAAAAGAAAATACTTTCAAAGCAACAGGTATAGATAATTCACAGATTTTACTTAAATATATGTGCACCAGATCTTGTGCATTTTAAAAACAATCTGAAATTTAGCCCATTGTTGTTGTTTTAGGTGTCATCAAGTTGGTTCTGAGTCAATAGTGCCCTTCTGTACAACAGAACAAAACACTGCCCAGTCCTGTGCCACCCCTACACTCATTGCTAATTTGAGTCCATTATTGCAGTCACTGTGTAATCCACCTGGTTGAAGGTCTTTTTCCCCGTTTTTCACTGACCCTCTACTCTACCAAAAGGAGCTCTGGTGGTGCAGTGCCTAAGACATTTGACTGCTAGCCAGAAGGCTGGTGGTTCAAACCCATCAGCCACTCTGCAGAAGGAAGACTGGGCAATCTACTTCCTTAAAGATTTACCGCCTGGGAAACACAATGGGGGTCTCTATGAGTCGGAATTGACTTGATGGCAGCGGGCTTTGTTTTGTTTTTTTCTACTCTACCAAGTATGATACATCCTTTTCTAGGGACTGGTCCCTTCTGACAATATGACCAAAGTACATGAGATAAAATCTGGCCATTCTTGCTTCTATGGAGCTTCTGGCTATACTTCTTCTAAGACAGATTTTTTTGTTCTTCTGTCAGCCATGGTATTTTTTCAGTATTCTGCACCAGCACAACAATTCAAAAGCATCCCTTCTTCTTTGATCTTCCTTATTCACTGTCATGCTTTCACATGCACATGAGACTACTGAAAAGACCACAGCTCTGTCAGGCACACCTTAGTCTTCAGAGGGGCATCTTTGCTCTTTAATATTTTCAAGAGGTCTTTTGCAGATTTGTCCAGTACAATATGTCATCAGATTTCTCAAGGCTGCTTCCACGGGTATTGATTGTGGATCCATGTAAAACGAAATCCCTTACAACTCCAATCTTTTAATCTATTTATCATGATGTTGCTTATTGGTCCAGTTGTAAAGACTTTTGTTTTATCTATGTTGAGGTGCAATCCATACTGAAGGCTGTAGTCTTTGATCTTCATCAGTAAGTGCTTCAAGTCATCTTCACTTTCAGCAAGCAGGGTTGTGTCATCTGCATATCACAGATTGTTAATAAGTCTCCTTCCAATCATGATGCCTTGTTTTTCTTCATATAGTCCAGCTCCTTTAGCCCATTAGCACAGAAAATTAATCAAGTTACTTATAAAGGTAAAAGAGGAAGAAAGAAGGTGGGAAGTTGTTACCTCACTCAGCAGTAAAGGGAAGGTGAAAATTCTTATTGCTGGTAACTTATTGGGCAGGGAACTGGGCCCCAGGGGTACAGATACCTAGGGAAGCCATGAATTGTTGTTAAACCAAACTAAATGTATCTAAGCTAAGCACTAAGTCCCAGGAGCACTGGTTCTGTTCCAAAGAAATACTTAATAATGATACTGGTAGACCTTCTCAAAGCTTGAATGTATTGTAGCTGGATCAGCAATGGGAAAATATAGAAGTAGAATTATATCAAAGCATGGAATGATGTTGTTTAAGGGGTTTGTTTCTTTAAAAAACTGTTTCTGAGAGCATTTAAATTTGCAAATTCATATCCTTTCATTATTTGCTATACAGTGACTTGTGTTATACAAACAGTCCAAGGCCTCACAGAGCTCATCTTCACTCCTGATAATTCTATTTCTGATACAAGTCACTGTGATCAAGTCTTTAAAATTGTTAGGGTCACTGTTCATAAGGACAGACTCATGCTGCTGGTCTGATCTTGTTTCTTCCCTTCAATATGATGGGCATTTGAGTGAACTGATGATAAAGATGATGGGAATGAGGTGGTCTCTTAATTAATGGATGGATGTAGATGAAAAACCAAACAAAACTCACTGCTGTTGAGTCGAATCTGACTCATAGCGACCCCTCCTTGGGTTTCCCAGGCAGTATCACTATGGGAGTAGATCACCTAATCTTCCTTCTGAGGAGTGGCGGTGGGTTTAAATTGCCAAGCTTCTGGTTAGCAGTCAAATGCCTTAGGCACTACACTACCTGGATGTAGATGAGGATCTATAAATGGCATCACAATTGAGGTGCCAAAGAAGTATGCTAATGCTTTGCTATAAACACATTTTATACTTTTGCAATAAATATTCTTTGGTGTACACAAAGATCTTCTGAAAACATATGAAAAATGTGCAACAATTAGGTTATGAAATTATAAATTCTACTAATAGATTTTACTGTAAAAAATAACCGTACAAAACAAGAAAAGTGATATCATCTAGTGACCAAGAAAACACAATGGTAGCAGGACTATGACAATCTCAGAGAGTAACTTGACCAGATCCCAGTATTGTAAAATAATGAATAGCCAACAGAGGATTCAGGATTTAGGATACAAGTAAAATGGTTGAATTTGTTCATCATTTACCAGCAGTCTAAAGAGAACAAATGATTTTTTTTTTTTCTTTTACCATGCTACCCCAAATATTCTGAAAACAAATTACTATATTTTTAGTAAGTTAACATTACCAGGTATTTACCTACAGTGATCTTGAATTATTCCAATCAATCAGCGAGAGGTAGGAAGCTAGCTATACAAACCTACATATGGTCCACCGGGTTTGATAACTTTTGTGCTTCGGTTGCGGGACTCCTCCTCTGCCTGGGTCATTCTTTCTCGTGTCATCTGATATGAGTCGTTTGTTGCACACACTGTAATTTTATCTTGTATAAATCCCAGGCAATTGAGCTGGGAGGCTCCAGAGCTGTCAAGTAAGACAGTGGCTTTGTTAGTGATGACCCTCATTTTGCACAGTAAAGGCAAGCAAGAATTGTATAATCCTAAAATCAGCAAATAATTATGGAAGTTTGAAATCCTAAAACACTACTAATAATTTTTATGTAAAGATTATTTCAAATATAATATCTTCTACCTCATTTTATATTACAACTTTGTTCATATTCTTAATACAATGGGTGAAATGAGCTCTCTCCCCAAGAGAGTTTCTCTGACATTTATGAAAAAAAAAATCAATATTTACGGGTAAGCCCAGAGCACCAATCAGTGCTGCAGTTTCACTTTTATTTAACAGTCAGCTATTTTTAAGAATTACCTACCACTGAACATTAAACTGTTTACTTTTAATTTTTAATTAATATTACTTTTAAGGCAAAAATACTGATAAACACTGGAGCTTACTTTATTATTACACTCAAAGTTCCTAATAACTTCTAGAACTTTTATTTACCCCTCTGTTAAGTTTCTGTGTAGCTGACCTATTCATATAGCAAACATTGAAGAAAATATTGGACAACAGATTTTTGGATAAATATTTAAAAACAACTTTTATTTCAACCATAATGAATACAGTGCCCATGAAGGTCGCTCTGTTTCAAAGTCATTTGCTAATACTGGGGGTCACAGTAACAGCCATAGCTGGTACTATGGTCTTTAAAAAAGCAGGAATATAAAAGTAATGAGACTGCTACTGTTGCTCTGATACTGTCTTTCCAAACATAATTTTGTAGCTTTGTTATGTTTCTAACAAATAAAGATTGATAAAATTTTTGTCAACTGCTAATATGAGTCTTTACAAATGCAATATATTAAAAAAAATTAGTCCATTTATTCACAAATATTTATTGGGCAGTGACTGCACGCCAGGCAATGTATCAGGAATAGAGGCTTGGTCAAAGACTAAGATACAAGGAGTTCCTCCCTCATAGTGCTCTCTGACTAGTGAGTGACAAGGATGAGTAATCTGAAAATGACAACCCAGTGTGGTAAATGCCATGGCAGAAGGAGTCCAAGGACCACCCAGGAGGGGAACCTCACCTGGCCTTGTGGGCAAGACAAAAGCTTCTCACAGGAAGTGATGCCCAAGCTGACCCAGAAAGATGAATGCAGAAGTGGGAGGAAGGGAACGTGTTTTGGGAGGATACTCAACCTGGGCAGGCCCAGGGGGAAACAGGAAAAGATTTTCAATTTGGCCAAGGAAAAACAGTTGGAAAGGACAATTCGAGATGAGGTTGAAGAAGGAATGAGAATCACATCACTGAAGGCTCTGGAGGTCATGTATAGATTTTGGACTTAAAGATTAACAGAGGCTGCAAACAAGGGAAAGAAAATATCTTCCATTTTACAAAATAGAAGAGTATCGATGGAGTGTATATGGGTGAAAAGAGAAGGGAAAAGGACAAGAGTGAAAGCAGGAAGAAAAGTTAGGAGGCTATTGAAGGTTTCTAGGTAGGAAGCGGTGATTCGAACTGGAGTAGGGCAATGAACACATAAAGATCAATATCTTAGGCATTAGTGAGCTAAAATGGACTGGGGTTTGGGCTTTTTTTAAAGTTGTGATTTGGGTAAAAGTTTACAGAGTAAACTCACTTTCAATATAGCAGCTCACATACACTTTGTCTTATAACACTGACTGCAATTTTCCACAATGCAACAGTTCCCCTCTCACTTCCTCCCCATAGTTACCTCTTTCCTGTATCCTTCCCTCCCATGCACTCCTGCCCCTCAAGCTGTCTCCCTGTGCATAAGAAGCCCTTCTATTCTTCCATGATTGATCTCTCCAAGGAGTGTATCTACCTAATATAAATGTTCAGCTCATATGCCTGTCTTTTGTTTGGCTGGAAGCCACAGGAGTGGGTTCAATTCTAAACCTGAAGGGCAGCTAGGGACCATGGTCTCAGAGGTTCCATTAGGCTCTAATGGACCAGCAAACCTGGCCCCCCCCCCTTTTTTTTTTTAAATGATTTTGAGTTTTGTTCCACATTGTTTTCTAATCCTGTCCAGGATTTCCTACATAGATCCCCTCTGAGTGGTTGACAGAGGTAGCCAGGTACCATCTAGTTCTTCTGGTCTCATAACTGTGCAGGCTAAGGATGGCATGGTGTACCAGTCGCTTGGACTAACTGTTTCCATGTGTCTTTGGTTTTCTTCATTTTTCTTTGCTCTGGATGAGGAGAGACCCATCGTTGTTGCAATTAGATGGCCACTTGCAAGCTTTCAAGATCCCAGTCGCTATTCACCACGTAGGATGTGGAACAATGTTTTTGGGTAGTATGTTATGCCAATTGAACTCGATTTCCCCTGTGATCATGGTCTGATTTGGGCCATTCTGAATCAGACAACCATCTGATCAATTGAAGAGGTATGGCATGGCATTCAACATCACAAAGAATATTTCAACATCTATCCTGAAATACAGGAGCTCTGGTAGAGTAGCGCCTAAGGCACTTGACTGCTAACCAGAAGGCTGGCAATTCAACCCACCAGCCACTCCTTGGAAGGAAGTTTGGGCAATTTATTTCCATAGTGAAATTGCCTCGGAAACCCAAGGAGGGTTCGCTATGAGTCAGGTCTGATTTAATGGCACATAACAACAACATCCTGAAATACAATGCTTGTCAGTGATAGGATAATATCCATATGCCTACAAGGAAGCCCAGTTAATACTACTGTTATTCAAATTTATGCACCAACCACCAAAACCAAAGATGAGAAAATTGAGGATTTCTACCAACTTCTGTAGTCTGAAACTGACCAACCATGCAATCAAGATGTATTGATTACAACTGGTGATTGGAATGTGAAAGGTGGAAACGAAGAACCACCAGTAGTGGAAAATATGGCCTTGGTGATAGAAATGATGCTGGAGATTATCATTTGATGATAGAATTTGACAAGATCAATGACTTATTTACTGCAAATACCCATTTTCAACAACATAAATGGTGGCTATACCCATGGACCTTGCCAGATGGAATATACACAAGTCAGAGCAACCATATTTGTAGAAAGAGGCAATGGAGAAGCTTCAGCCAAAATGAGGCCAAGAGTAGACTGTGGAATAAAGCTAAAGATAATTAAAATAAATTCATAAGAGCAAAAATATAACTTTGATTATATCCCTCCTGAATTTAGAGATCATCTAAAGAACAGATTTGACACAATGAACACCAATGACCAAAAATCCGATGAACTGTGGGATGACATCAAGAATAACGTCCATGAAGAAAGCAAAAGGTCATTGAAACATCAAGAAAGGAAGAAAACACCAAAATGGATGTCAGAAGAGACTCTGAAACTTGCTCTTGAATGGAGAGTTGTTGTTGTTGTTGTTATGTGTTGTTGAGTCGGACCTGACTTACAGTTATCCCTCCTTGGGTTTCCGAGGCAGTATCACCATGGAAGTAGATTGCCCAACTTTCCTTCTGAGGAGAGTCTGGTGGGTTTGAATTGCCAACCTTCTGGTTAGCAGTCAAATGCCTTAGACACTATGCTACCAGAGCTCCTGAATGGAGAGTAGCTAGAGCAAATAGAAGGAATGACAAGATAAAGGAGCTGAACAGAAGATTTCAAAGAGCAGCTCTAGAAGACAAAGTGAATTATTATAATGAAACGTGCAAAGACCTGGAGTTAGAAAACCAAAAGGGAAGAACATACTTGACATTTCTCAAGCTGAAAGAACTGAAGAAAAAATTCAAGCCTCCAAGTTGCAATACTGAAAGATTCTATGGGCAAAATATTGAATGATGCAGGAAGCAACAAAAGAAGATGGAAAGAAAACACAGTCACCAAAAAGAACTGGTTGATATTCATCCATTTTAGGAGGTGGCATATGATCAAGAACCAATGGTATTGAAGGAAGAAGTTGAAGCTACAGTGAAGGAACTTGTGAAAAACAAGGCTCTAGGAACTGATGGAATATCTATTGAGATGTTTCAGCAAACTGATGTCCTGTGGAGGCACTCACTCATCTATGGCAAGAAATTTGGAAGACAGATACCTGGCCAACTGTCTGGAAGAGATCCATATTTGTACCCATTCCAAAGAAAGATGATCTCACAGAATGTGGAAATTATCGAACAATATCATTAACATCACATGCAAGTAAAATCCTGCTGAAGATAATTCAAAAATGGTTGCAGCAGTATATTGACAGAGAACTTCCAGAGGTACAAGCTGGATTCAGAAGAGGACATGGAACGAGGAACATCAGAGTTGCTATCAGATGGATCTTGGTTGAAAGCAAAGAATACCAGAAAGATGTCTGTGTTTTATTGACTATGCAAAGGCATTCAACTGTGTGTATCATTAACAAATTATAGATAACATTGAGAAGAGTGGGAATTCCAGAACACTTTATTGTGCTCATGAGGAACTTGTATATAGACAAGGAGGCTGTTATTCGAAGGGAACAAGGGGATAGTGCATGGTTTAAAATCAGGAAAAGAGTGTGTCTGGGTTGTAACCTTTCACCATACTAATTCAATTGGTATGCTGTGCAAGTACTCTGAGAAGCTGGACTATATGAAGAGAAAGATACCATAGGGATCGAAGGAAGACTCAGTAACAACCTGAGATATACAGCCTGCACAACCTTGCTTGCTGAAAGTGAAGATGACTTGAAGCACTTATTAATGAAGATTAAAGACTACAGTATGCAGTATGGATTATACCTCAAGACAAAGAAAACGGAAATCCTCACAACTGGACCAATAAGCAGCATCACGATAAATGGAGAAAAGACTGACCTTGTCAAAGATTTCATAATACTTGGATCCACAATTAAAACCAGTGGAAGCAGCAGTCAAGAAATTAGATGATGTACTGCACTGGGCAAATCTCCTGCAGAGCTCTTTAAAATGATGAAGAGCAAAGATGTCTCTTTGAAGACTAAGGTGTACCTAACTCAAGCCATGGTATTTTCAATCACCTCATATGCATGTGAAAGCTGTTCAATGAATAAGGAAG